ATCAAGGCGCCAACTTCACAGGTTAGTACTGGACACAGAGAGAGAGAGAGCTCTTCTTCTTCCTCCTCTAAGTCCACCTTTCTCTTCTCACCCTCTCGCCACCTGACTTCTCAGACTATGACAGAGAGAGATAGAGTTGTGACTTGAGACTTGACGACATTGGATCCAGACTTGACATTTGGGATTCAGACAGTTCGACGAGGGACTATTTGGGCTTGTGCCGAAGACTTGGTGTTGACGACATTCCCATCTTCCCCCTCCTCTTCGTCTATCCCCTTCCTCCTCGTCTGTGCATGTTCTGGGCTGGCGCTGTCTTCCTGTGTGAAGCGCCAGACCCATTCACACTATGAAATGATGATGATGATGTATGTTTCAGGGCTGCATTACAACATTGATGGTTCGGATCACTAGTACCTAAGTCTTCCGCTGTGCTATCTTATACTTTGTAGTGAAAGGTCGGTTCTTGTTCTGGTCTGCACCTATACGGTATGCAACATGCGCCTCCGACAACTGCAAATATTCCTGGAGCACAGCTTTGACTGCTGACAGCGAGGAAAGTGAGTTCTCCGAAATCAAGAAGAGATCATCTGCTAACGCTGTTGCCCTGCACTCTCTTCCTATTTCAACATGCTGTGTGGCGAGGAGAAAAAGTCGAAAATCAACTTATTCGGAGACATCAGTTGATTTTCGACTTTTTCTCCTTGCCACACAGCATGTCGAAATCCGAGATGTGAAAAAATTCAGGACCTGTCAGGGAAAGGGTTTCCACACCTCCTTTCGAGCAAGGGATCGTTTCCACTTCAGGCCTGCAACTTGGACTTGGACATTTTTAAGTCCTCCCATGGCATGCGGAGTTCTTGTCCTAATGTCGAAAATGAGATCTTCACTTAGGCATGCTGTGTGGCGAAGAAGGTTTTTCTGTCGAAAGAGGCAATGTCGAGAATTTCCTGACCTATGTCGAATGTCGTGATGTTTCGACATTGGTGTGGCGAGGCCCTAAGGGAACCTCCTCGGGAGTTCTAGTGGTGCCTTCCCTTATCAGCACCCCTAGCACCGGTTGAGGAAGTCTTGTTTGGGAACAAAAAAAAAAAAGGGTGTGCCGAGGCCCTAAGGGACGAGTTTTGAGGCCTGTCATTAGTGCAGCCATTTGGGGGGACAAATTGTCTTTTCCTTTATTTATTTTTTTCATATAAAGCCCAGGTTTTTGTAGAAGCTGGACTCCAGACAGACGGGGTTACTGACACAGCTATTGGTAGTCCTGGCAGTCCCTTATGGTCCGTAAGACCATTTTCCCTACCCATCCTCTCGGCAATTCTCCTAGCGCACCCCTATCCTACTATCCTACCTCAGTATCGAGTACTGAGGACTATCACCATGCTATTTGAGAGGACGACTTGGGCCAGACAGTAGTTCTAGGCACCGGGGCTAGGCAGGGCCAAGCGCAAAGCCTTGAAAGCCCCACCCAGCCCTAGTTGAGGCACAGTCAAGCAAGCTACGTTACTTGGGTACATCGGGCGCCAGGCTCAAGCATTATGTCTACTTCACCTACCAACCCCCATTCTGGCATGTTATGTTATCTATGTATCCTTATTTCATTCCTTTCTTTCAGATGTCAGATACCGAGGTGGGACAGGGCCAAGTGCGAAGCCTTGAAAATCCCAGCCACCCCCAGTCATGTGTATGTGTTATCTGTGTGATATCTGCGTGTTCATACTCACCCCAATCTCCTTTCTACAGATGTCAGATACCGAGGCAGGACAAGGCCAAGCGCGAAGCCTTGAAAGCCCCAGCCAGCCCTAGTCATGTGTATGTGTTATCTGTGTATAGTGTGGTTGTCCATGGTTTTAGATACCAAGGCCGGGCAAGGACAAGCGCGAAGCCTTGAGAACCCTTGCCCACCCCCAGTCATGTATGTATATATCTCCTTTCCACAGATGTCAGCATTGTCAGATACTGAGGCGGGCAAGGCCAAGCGCGAAGCCTTGAAAGCCCCAACCAGCCCCAGTCACGAGTTTGTGCTATCTGTGTGTAGTGTGGACCCACCACCAAGTCCCGGATGAATTCCGTATACGTAGGGTTCTACTGTCGTGTGAATGGCGGTCCTATCTATGCAAGAACCCCCCAAAGTCTCTAGCCAGACTCAAACCCATGCCCTTCATTATGTAACAGCAGTGCC